ACACCGAGCCGGGGGACCAGCTGTGTGAAGACGTCAAGGTAATATCATGGATGGCATAGTTCAGAGTGTATGAGTCATTTGAGTAGGTGAGCATGGGTGCCTGATGACATACAACCCTGTAAATATTTTAGTTTTTACAGTTAATCCATCAATAAAATCAAGGGCTAACTTTAATTTAGAAGATTCTGTTAAATTGTAATATAATAACCTCAGTATACAGAAACTAAGATACTGTAAATAAACAAACCCTAGTGAGTTATAGATTGAGAGAACGTATTGTAAACCCAGAGATGACTGAGGGGGTCCATCCAAACCGCAATATAAAGAGAGTTATGAAAACTATTTGACATCTACTCGATTTAAACGCCCGAGGTTTAAAGCTGTCAGACTGAAGAAAGGCAGGCTGAAAGGACATTTCAGCTGTGGCTTCTCCCCTACAGGCCCCCCAAAGGAAGGGATGGGAAGAAGGTAGAGCCACTACCCAGAGCGGGAAGTCAATGAGGGACAATTGAATTGTTCAATAACTACCAGAATCCAGCAAGGAAAATTATAATAGCTTAGGTTGATATTTTGAAATAGTTTTATTTAGTTGTAAGCCAGTCAAAATGACTTTTGAGGATTTTAATGTTTTGCCTTATTGCTATGCAGCATCTTCTTTTAAAATCGATATGAAATTCCTAAAAAGGTTAACCTCTCTCTCTTTATTGAGTTGGTTTTGTTATTGTTGTTATGCCAACTGGCATAAGTGTTGATTTTTCTAGCAGCAGTCTTTCTTCCTCCACATGGCGAGGAGTCGGAAAGAGAGCTCCATGCCCTCTGTCCAGTTCGCGCACTGTCCCATTATGTGGCCTGCATGACAACTATCAGACAAACACAGCAGTTGTTTGTGCATTACAGGGAGCATTCTCTTGGGAAGCCCCTGACTAAGCAGTGGCTGTCTCACTGGTTGTGTGAGCCCATCATACAGACATACGTGTCAGCTAGGAGAGGTCCCCCTCCTGGCATGAGAGCTCACTCCACAAGTGCTATTTTATCCTCCACAGCAATCTTGGGGGATGGCTGTGGAAGACATTTGTACAGCAGCCTCCTGGGCTTTCCCATGTCCTTTCACTCGCTTCTGCCTTCTACCTATTATCTGTGCGTTTTGTCAGCGCGCCCTTCCCTGCACTTATTCTCCTCTGATGAACATTAACGGCCATCCCTGCCTTCTCACAGTGGCAGTCAGGTTCTATATGGGGCATGATTGTGTCTGCTTCTCAGACAAGGTCTGTTGCAGGAGAGAGGATGTTGTACTTGGGCTGCTATTGCGGGATATACCAACAAGCTGAGATGTTTACAATGCTCTTTGGCAGCAGTGAGCCAGCAGGGCATTGACTACATCCAGCTGTGCTTTTATCCAATAGCGACAGCTCTTAGAGGGCGAAGCCTATACGAAGTAGTATGATGGTTACATTCAGTAACCCAAGCTTCTATGACTATAGGCATAGCCCTCTAAGCCGGCAGCCTCGCTGTCTCTACCCCTGCCAGCTGAAGAAAAAGCGCTGGCATAAGGAACCAAACTCAGGTCACATTGGCATTTACGCCACGACATCGGACCTAAGTGGGGACAGCCCAGTACAGGGCACGAGAGAAATCTCTTCAGGACTGCACATGCGTGAGGGATAAACCCAATAGTGACAGCTCTTAGAGGGCTACGCCTATACTCATCGAAGCTTGCGTTACTGTACGTCACCATTGCTCTGAGCCCTTGAGCCTATAATTCAAGTTTTAGTCTTGTCCTAGTCTATATTTAGACCCTCATCTTGCATACTGTTAAAAATAAATTTAATTTGGTTAGAGGTGGGATTTGACAGGTTTAATTAGCTTGTGGCCAAACCCCAATCCGAGAGAGAGGCAAAGCTTTCACAACCTGAAACCTGTCTCAAGAGTGCATGTAAAATAAATACACTACATGATTTGCAGGTGAACTTGTGAATGTCTTGTTTTGTTTTGTTTACCAATGCTGGCCAACGCCCTGGCTGATGCTGTTGTTAAATGCTTCATTTCTCTGCCCTGTATTTCATGATTGTAACACACTTTTCGGTATAGATTATTACAAGTGTTATTAGTGAGCAGGCACTGTTGTTGCTGTTAAGAACTTTAAACCTAATCAACTTTAATTGTGCCTAAACTAGAAGACTCAGAGTCCAGTTCATCAGCATTCCAGCCAGATCCAATCAGTATGTCTTTGTGTATATCCATCGTGTGTGTGTGTGTGTGTATCCTCTAATGATGTAGGAGCACTTGTTGAAGCAGGGGAACGTGGAACAGTCTCCTGGGGCCTTTCTGAACCAAGAAGACCCTGACAACAGACTGCTGGTCATCATTAAAAACAAAGACATCGCTGGACACATCCACAAGGTCCTTCTGAATGTTGAGTGTAACAACTATGTTTGTTCTGACTGTCTTGGCTGCCAGTGGCAGTAACAAGGTGGATGTGCGTTATCCTGCTCTGCACAGACCCACACCTTATTTGAATGTCCTGCGCATTTTGAGTACATTTGGCTTCTTTGTTCCTTGTTTATTGTTAACCCTGTACTCTCTGCAGGTACAAAAGCTCTCAGGCCATTGGTCCTAGTTGATTTGGATGTCAGATGTTCTAACCCTTGGCAGCTGTCATGCCACAAACCAACTAAGACACCTGTGTGATTAGTTTGTTTTATAGGCGGTGCCAGCCATCTCACTGTAGGGTGGGAGCGAGCGAGGCCAAGGCCATATGTGCATGCTAACTAATTGGAGGCCTGAAGTCCTTGGGGATTGGCACAAACCAAACCTGTCTGTATAGGTGTGTCTCATTCTCTCCAACCGCAAAAGGTCTCAGGAGAGAATTTCCTCAGATCAAACTTGTGCCATTGTGGACAGTATTCAGGTGCACATGACATCTGCTGTGTAGGCACATAGTTCTTATGAGTTTTACCATTTTTTATTCAGTAATCACAATAAGATAAGGACCAGGTGAATTTTTTTGGTTTCAGTTTAGTTTCATTTTTTGATCACCCTCTCTCTTGGGCCCCAGCTCCTTGTGCTGCAGCATCAGTCTGTGCTGGGGGTATTTATTGTATAAATTTCTTCTCACTTATTTTGCATCCGACCTGTCCAGGGTTTACCCCACCTTTGCCCGATTGCCGGCCGGGATTGGCTCCAGCCCCCCCCTCGTGACCCCGTTCAGGGATTAAGCGGTAGAAATGAATTATTTTGCATCCCTGAATGGGAACGCCTTGAACTGTACAACTTCCAGCAGAACTGCTCTTCCTTTTTTCCAGTGCAAAACCAAATTGACTCCTTTGTGAACAAGAACACACTTAACTTCACTGTCCAGTCCCAAAAAATAAGTCGCAAACCCTTAGTAAATCTCCCCCTTTGTGTACTGCCACTTGAAGGAATTCACCAACTAGTACCGACTGTCTGTGTTGGACAGATAATCAATTCTTATTAAAAAGGCAAGCTGAAAACAGATTAACAGGAGAAGTGTGTTTTTGTACGTATCAGATCCCAGGCCTGGTGTCTCTGAAGCAACACCCCTCTGTGGTGTTTGTGGGAATCGATACACTGGACGACATCAGGAACAACAGCTACAACGAGCTCTTTGTGTCTGGAGGTTGCATTGTCTCAGATGAGTTAATCCTCAATCCAGACTTCATCACTCATGGTAGGTCAGGGATTCACATCCAGTAATGAGCCAGCAAAATATATTTTTAGATTATTGTAATGGAACATTTGTTTGTTTACACTTTTTCTTGTCATAGACTAGTCCACTAACAAATATTAAGAATCTTATTCGCAGGTAGTAATGTTTTGTTTTACTGAAAAATAGTGTTCTTGTGCAAGAAATGTTCTGTGGATGTTTGCATCAGTCTATTAGTAAATGATTTTGCTGTTTATTTCATGTGCTAATTGTTGGGATGTTGTAGATCAACTGGCAGCGCTGCTGATGTTCCTGGAAGAGCACAGTTCCCTGGAGAGTGTCTGGAAGTGGAAGGTTCACTGCAAAACCCACAAGAAATTAAAAGAGCAAGCCAGGTACTCTTTTTGTCTGCACTGTAAAATTGGCCTACACTATAGCACAATGGTTACATGAGGGCAGACACTGATATAGAATATCACACTGATTGCATGAGTGTCTGACTCTTACAACATGGGTTGTGAGTTTTGTTTTCCTTTTTTATGCAAAATGAGCCAGTCATGCAGGCAAAGCCAAGGATTTCACACCAGTTGCACTTCACAGGGTCTAAAGCTAGTATAGGCTCTCTCTCTCTCTCTCTCTCTCTCTCTCTCTCCCCCCCCCCCCCCCCCCCCCCCACTGCACATCTCTGAGCTGGAACACTTCTATTTCTGTGTCAACATGTGCTGTGTTACATACAACAGCAGTTTACTGTGATCTGATGCAGAAACCTGCATTTGAATGTTTTTATGTTGCAGCACATAAAGGACATTGTCAGTTTTGTTGCAGTTACAGAGATGATCAGGTACCTAGAGCACAAACAGTATGAGCTCGTATCAGTGTTTAAATTATAATATAGTAGCATCACTTTCACTTGAGCCACTAAATGTTTGTGTATATGACTAAATTAGAAGCCATTTACTGCTTCTGTTCAGTCTCTCATCAAGTTGTAACCGTTTACTACCAGTAACAACTGTTTTCTGAAAAACATGTTTGTGCTCAGAAGAAACAAAAACAAGAAACCGTGTGAGAGACGGGAACAGAAACAGTGTCTGACATCTGTGAGCAAGAGAATATGTCCTGCAAACCTAAATTCATAAGCTACTGCCTTCATTCCTTTTAGCACACAGAGTTTCATATTTGTAACTTTGAATTACAGTTTTTTAAAACTGAGACTTTTCATTTGTCATGTTAAATGACCCCTTGTGGTGAAAACTGGAACATCAGGTCATGTGGGCTTCAAACGACTGGTAGGTTTTTATCAAAATGTTTTTATTACCAAATAATGACATAAAATTAAACATCGTCTGGGTAGGGGCCCTTTGTGAATGGCAACAAGCAGAGGTATCAGTAAAGTGGAAAAATCATGATTAAAAAAAGAGCACAGGTCAAAACTACAGCAGATAAATCAGTACAGAGGAAATACTGAGCTAAAAGGGAAAATTCCTATGATTCTCTTGAAAACAGAGAACGTGTATAGAAGGTCCAGTGAAGAATAACTTATTATAAAGACGAGACAATGAAGGAACAATACAGTCAAAAGACTGGTACCTGCATTTTAAGGCACCTAGTTCATGTTTCCATGTTCGGTGTTTACTGCACAAAGACACTCACTGTAGAACAACTTCTAGTTGTCAGACTGAATTACACCTAAATAATAAGTCCTTTTATTGTTGCTTGCATAGTGATTCTGAGCCACCTGGTTTGATAAGAGCGCTCTGCAGCAGTTCAGGGTTTATGTTTAAAAAAGCAGTCCTCCCAAAGCACAGTCTTACATCCCTGTGTGGCTTTAGCTTGTCTGACCAAACCTGTCGTTCATCTGCGAATGCCTGGTGCAGCTGGCGCAGCAGAAACTGGAGTAGTACAAGTTGGAGCACAGTCGGGCGTAAACTATCAACTCGCAGTTGGCGAGCTCCGGCTGGTCCACGCACTCTGGCGGCACATCGACACCTGCAACGAGCCAGTTGAGAATCAGTCCCATTTTGTTTGTTTTTTTGTGCCTCAGACTCAGATTACTACACAGAACGTCGTGTGGTGTTCAATAAAGTAAGTTAACCTTGAGACGACTGAATCAGTCTGGGTGACCTTTGTTTCTGCTTGTTAGGTTTTTTTTTAGGTTGCACTATGTGAAAAAGATCTGCTTTTTGCTCCAACTTTACAGCCTCGTTAGCCTGGATCCTGACCTCTGAATCTCTACCCACAACTCTTTTTAGTCATTTAAATAGTAGCAGTCAGTATAATGACTTGAACTGACATGAACAGTCATTTGTTTGCCATTACCAATCTTAAAACTGCTTTTATGAACAAATGTCCAAAATTCTCCTGCTTGTTCCTCATACTTGTGGTAGCCTCCAGGAGAATCTAGTGAATGTGATTTATTCCTAAAAGTACTACATATACAGACAGGTGACAAATTAAAGGACAACCCAACATAAAGTCTCAGGGAGGTGCTGGGTCACCACATGACACCACAACAGCTTCACCTTGGCGCTGACTGTCCACATCTCTGAACTCTACTGGAGGGATGAGCACCATTTTCCTAACAGATGTTCCCTCATGTGGTGTTTTGATGATCATAGTGGAGACGCTGACTAACACGCCGCTCCAACATCTCTCATAATGTTCAACTGGATCGAGATGTGGTGACTGTGAAGGCCACAGCTTTCATTTGTTATCCATCTGTGCACAAAAACATAATGACAGCTCAGTCCCATCATTACTCTCACCTTCCTGTGTGCCTTTAATCACCTTCACTTCAGCCACAGCGCTCACGGAGTAGATGCCAGTGTATGCGTTACAGGTGTAGGTCCCCTCTTGTGACTGCTTTACATTATTCAGGATCAGGCTGCCATCAGAAGACAGGAGGATGTCACGACCGTCTGGGCGAACCACTATACCGTTTCTGTAATCAAAGAAGAAGAAAAACTCTATGAAAGTTGGAACTTCTTGTGTTTATAAATGGAGTCATGAAAGTTGTTTTTAGAAATGTTAAGAATAAATGTTCACCTGAATACTAACCCTCTCACATAAATCTGATCTTGTAGTGCTGGTAATTTTAACTGCTGTCCTTTAAAATGTTTATTTAATTTGTGCCAATTTTTACTTTGAAACCAGACTCTTAAGTGCAGCCGTTGCTATTTCTTGAGTTCAAGACGAAGCCTCAAATCAGCATGAAGTTTACCAATGTATATGCCTGAGCTTGACAATGCCATTTATTACCTGGACCAGCCAATGTTGACATTGTCGCCCGATACCACACAGGGAAGCTGAGCCGTGCTGCCTTCGGACACCTGGATGTTATTAGGAGCTGTAGTGATCCTCAGGTCTGGACAATGAACCCAGAAAAACACTGAATCCAGGCCTTTTGGTGATTTTTTTTTTTAAATTCAACCTAAAATTTCTGACACCTTCATAAACACTCATCAACAAATCTGTTTCAATGACGTTCAGATATACTGACCTCTGCTGGGGACTACATGAAACTACAACATCAACTTGTTCCCACTGTAAGTCTCTGGTAACAATAATGACAGCACAATGGCCAAGATGCAGGTAAAACCCACCTTGAACTCTGAGCTGCAGCTGTATCTGCTCCAGCTGCTGCTGGTTGGAGGCTGTACATGTGTAGAAACCTGAGTCATCAGACTTCAGCGGGCTGATGAACAAGGAGCCATCGGAATTCTGGGTAAACCTGCAGCACAGCAGTTAGTCACGACGCCCGTTCACACTGACACTGTTTGAGTGAGAAATGAGAATTACCTGGGGTTACTGAGGGTCCGTCCATCTTTTGTCCAGTGAATGTTGACAGACTGAAGTGCTGAGGGAGGGACAACCGTGCAGGGCAGTCTAGCAGTTTGTCCCGCTCGCTTTTCCAGCAGAGAAGAGCTGGACCGCTCAATACTGAATCTGATTCAAGTGATTAGCATTAGAAATACTTCTAAATATTAAAGTTTGTTCATTCTAACCATGTGTTAGAGTTTATATTCTTCAGTTTTTCCACACTTTCTGTTTAATGGAAGGAGCTGTTAGTGACATTAGTTGTACCTCGGAAATGTGCCTCTGGACGGTGGGGTCGGATTCGGCTGAGACGGTCTTTCTATGACCCAAACACACAGACACACTAAGTGAGCAGTCCTGTCATAATTCACTTACATAATGTCACAATAACAAATCATGGGTATGGACTGGCTAAGTTTTCAAGGTCAGCATGTTCTGACATCATCTGTGAGATCAAGGCTTCAGCCCATCCTTGAGGATTTACATGTGACTGACTAATTGGACTCTGAGTTGGTCAGTTAAGCTTTTGACTGACTGTGACCTCAATAAGTTGATTAAGCACCAGGTGAAAGTGTCTCACAATCTGCCTTAGAGTGCTCTAATCTTTATAGATCCAGAAGTGTTCTATAATAACTGTACAATACATTGTAATGTGTGCCATTACCTGTGACAGACAGGTAAATGTAGCGGTGGTCTCTCTCCCGTTCCCGCGTGGCCACACACAAAAACCAACCAGAGTCTGACTGAGTGAGAGGACCAACTAACAGGGAACCATCGGGCTGCTGGTGATGCCTGAAGAGAGAGGAAATCCATAAAACACAGAGAATAATCACAAACACTGACACTATATATGAAGGAAATGGATGTTTCTGCTGACCTGTGAGAAGACACAGAGATCCCATCTCTTCTCCAGTCCACAATGACAGTGGAGGACGGTGGCGGGCTGACTCTGCAGGGCAGCACGGCGGTCTGGCCGACTAAAGCCTCCACAGTAGAGGGGTCTGTCCTATCAATCGTTACTCCTCCCAGTGTCAAGCTGAGGAAACATAAGAGGATACAAGGATAGAAGGAAAGAAGGAAAGGAAGGGGGGAGGAACAGTTGGAAAACATAAAATGAAGGTTGAAGGCAGGAAGAAAGAGTCACTTTATGCTCTGCTGTTGGTACTTTTATTCACCAAAGCAAGCATAAAGAAGGCCCATAACCTGGTTTCAGCAGTTTGTCAGAAAAAGCTCAGAGAGAAAGACAGAAAAGAAATCCAGCTCCGGCACGCAACATGAAAAATGGCCGAACAAACAACACAACCCTCACCCACAAAGCAACAAATTCAGACAATCAGACTGACACATGCTAAAAATTAGATGTGATGTTGACACAGAAGAAGAGAAAGGACAATTTTCTTCTAGCAAGAAGTCGATTAGCACCATGTTCCCCAAAGAAATCTAAAATCTAGGATTCAGCTAGAACACAAAACTACCCAAATGAAACGTGGAGAAAGACAAGATCCACACACCAACATGAAGTGTCGCAGCAGAACTTTTATTAGTTTGGTGGAAACACAAAGCCCAAAGCTGGTGGTGACTGACATAGTGAGGGAGCAGACACACATGGGCACAGGACGACTAACATCAACTCTAGACAGACAGTGAAGAGTCCCAGCTGCATCAAACAGGCGAGCTGTCTGTTAGGTTTGCTGTGAGGTTGTTAGCTCGTCCTGACATTTTGTTGAGGCTAAAAGAAGAACTAAGTAGATGTTACTTAGGCAAGCGTGAGCGTCTGTGGAGCTACACGACTACAGGACTTCTTTCAGCAGGGGTAAGAAGGTTGGAGGGGGGAGTGAGTGTTTCGCTGTGTTTCCTGGGTCTTCGGGGTCTTACCTCGCAGCTGGAGCGGCGTACTGTGCAGCAGTGACAGGCAGAGGCTGGGGGGCCTGCAGATAGACTCTGCCTCTGTGGGCAAATCATCCCCATGTTGTGTGAGTGCCCACTCGTTGACCCTCTAGATGATGTTGCCGCTCCAGATGCAGTAGATTCTCTTCTACGAGATGACTGTCCAGCAGGATCAGGAGGCCCCGAGCCCTGCTGGCTCAGTGCGGGCACCTGACACGCGCTTTGGCACTCTGCTAGGGTCATAAAGTTGTTGCTGTTGCCATGGCAACCTCCATACCAGAAGTGCACACACTTTGATGTGATGACATCGTAGTGGTAGCGTGACACCCAGCTGCTGCAGGAGCCGGCGGCACGCGGCAGGGAGCAGACGGAGCGCTTAACTACAGCAAAGGAACAGAGCAGGTGAGGTCACCATCATGGAGTCTCAACTGTTTCTATCACTGATTTTATCTTAAGGAAGGTTTGTCACCCGCACTGTGCAGGTACTGAGGAAAACAAACAAAAATCTGGTCATTTATTTTCCTTACAAAGTTCTTATCTAATGGAATTAGGACCTGAGTCTTTGGTCCTGTAGTAAAAAGCCAGCTTCCCTGTCCATCACACCTCAGAAATGTTAGTAACAGCTTTTGGTGCCACATCTTTGCTTATAATCAGTGTTCTTGGCACTACCAAGAGGTCAGCTCCCTCACAAAAGTTAAACCGGGGCACCAGGGTGAACCATGAACAGCAGGTCCCTGGGTCGACCTTTGCTGCCCACCTCTCTCTCACTGCATCTCTTCTCATCTCTTTGCTGTCACTTTGTAAAATGCCCCCAAAATGTTTATAAACTAGATCAATATTAATCACAGACAATAGATTAAAGGGAATCTAGACGAATGCTGCATGTGAGCACAACCATCGCCTTCTGAGATACAGCTTCTCATGGACCAACAACAGACGAACATGTTTGTACTGGACTGATCCACATGTCAGTTAATGTAAGAAGTAACAAAACCTTCTCTGCATAGAGGGAACATTAAAAAGACAAAACCAGATCTTGTGTAAGACAGTGCTATGTAATGTACATAGTGCATACGCTGCATCAGTCCCTTACTGTGGTTTGGTGGGTCGGGGCAGCTCTCCCCGTTGGCTCCACCTGCAGGTGTGGTGCGGTCATAACAGCACCCATAGGTGGTGGTTCGGCACTGTACTGCATTCTCAGTAGGAAGAGAAGGAGCAACCTGAGGAAATGACAGCATAGATAAGGAAAAAACCTGGGTAACTGAGAGCTGAGAATGAACCACGGTGTTCCTGGTTCATGTCCAGCCAAGGACCTCAGCTGCACGTCACTCCCCATCTCTTCATCTATCTACTGTAACCATCTAATAAAGCCATAAAAATGAATCCCAAAAATGATTTAAGTGCTAATAATAGACAATAGGCATAAAACACTGCACAAAATAAAGGACTCCAGTCAAAAACCTTACTAGTCCCACTCTTTTTTCTTTTACCAGTGTTTTATTCTGAGCAGACAACCACACATCTTTTTGTGTTATAGTTGGTCAGGTCTTTAACCGTCACCCATATCAAATATAGAAAAGTCAGTTTTAGTCTACTAACATGCGAAAAGCTAAGAGTTTCATGTATGTTTGCTTACAGTGGGTGCAGGGGCCACATACTCCGCACAGCCCTCCTTGTTGGGGCCCTGAGCAGTCGTCATGCCATCCTCACAGCAACCATGACTGATGTACAAAACAGAAGAAAGCAGGTACAAACAATGAAGTTTGTCCTCAACCCCACCCTGGCCACTCTGTTATAATTACTGTGTAATGCAGAACAGTCCCTGGTTAGTGTGGTCACATGGTCATAAAAGTGACACCCTGACGATGACTAAAACAGACTCCATATGTAATCTCAGTCGCAGTGTAGTGACAGGCTGGATACCTGGTCTGAATGCAGAATGGCTGGACAGGAACCACAGCTGGGGCCTGTGGACAGCCCAGACCCTGGGGTCCCCTGGCTGCAGTGTACCCGTCTGGGCAGCAGCCGTGATAGGACTGGCTGCAGTGGAGGGCCAGGGCGGAGCGGTGAGGGCCGCGGACCTTGTTTGTCTGGGTTGGATCCATCTCTAGCCTGCGAGCTAACGAGGGAGGAGGGTGGATTTACACATTGTACACACAGACCAGACCCCATAATTAACACCAAACACTGCCCACAGCAATAGCTCACACATTCCTTTAGAACTATACAACAGAGCTGAAGCCAAATGTTGAGCCTTCACAGGAAGCTGCGACACTAAAGAACTACTACAAAACGCATACATATAATTAACCAAAGAACATGATCAAACTATTTGCTTACTGGAGGATAAAACAGGGGACAGTGGAGAAAGAGGCTGCAGTGACCAGAATAAACCATCCTGAAGGAAGTGAAGATACACAAGCTTGAAGTTCCTGAGCGGTGGGACAGCACATGGCACTGAACACCATAGCTAGTACTAGCACACTTCACTGCTTCGGAAATATTTTAATAAGGCTGACAATGTTGTGGCCGCCTGAAAACAAGTCAATCAGACCTGGATAATTAAAGCTGGGACAGGGGCTTGGGGGGCTGATGGGGACAAAGTGACAGGAGTTGTATCACCAGAGGGGAGGTGGGATGCCGGGCAACTGAAGGGTGCAGTCACACTACAGTTAGTTTCCTTTGGTCCAAACCATGCCTGAAAGAATTTACTTTTTAGAAAAACTAAATACACTTTAGGCTAACAGCTTATTACCAAAGCAATTCTGCTCTGACATGCTCAGAGAGTCACTGGTTCAACTGTTAGTGGGCAAGTTGTGCAAATGAGTTAAAGACCTAACAAAAAAAGACTAATGCCAAGTTCAAGTTATATTGTTTCAGCTGTAACTGCAAGCACCCAAGTGTGAAGAACCGCTCCCATCAGCCTCTGACTCCAAGGCAGAAACACTGACTGTAGAAACAATGGAGGGCTGACAGCCCCCACAAGTGAAGCCACTGTGACACAGTCGCCCCCTGGTGGCTGGCTGCAGTATATGTCAGAAGTCCTGCTTCCTCCATGTTAGTGGATGGGACCTGACCCAAGCTAAAAACTCAAAGTACAAATCAGATTAAATTATTCCCAGAGCTCACTTTGCACTTTTGTGCAAAGTCAAACATGATAACAATAAAAAACAATATTCAAAATTTTATGCATGCTGCCAAATTAATGGAGCCTGCCTAGATGTAGAGACAGCTCCTTGTTCGTCATCCTACCCATGACGATGTTGCACTTAAATTTGTCTCAACAGCTTTGCAGACCTACATTGTACAGAAATGTGCCAAAAAGCACAGTGACAAGATGGAAAGCAACAGAAAGAATATTCTTTCTACCCAAAAGAATATATTCAGATTTAAAAGAAAGAAGACGACAACAAAGCATAACACTCCAGGCTGCAGGAGCGAGTGGCCTCATGCTGAGCCAGTTTACAGATACCCACGCTGTGGACTGTAGCAGGACTGGGTGTTGCAGTGCTCCACTGTGGAGGGTTTGGGGTGGGCATGGCATCGGTCCGCATGGTATACGTTCCTCTTCTGGTCTGAGCAGATCACCTGGCGCTCTCGAGAGCCAGAACCACAACTCTGAGAGCACTGTGGGAAAACGGAGAGAATTTAACACCAGTGAAACTTTGTTGTGTAGCTTAAATGAGAGCGCAATTGGTGTGACAGACGAAAAGGGGCATACTTCACATTCAGCCACAATAACTGCAGATAAATGTCCCTGTATTGTTTGTTGTTCACCGTCCAACTCACCAGCCCCCACGCTCCAACGCGCCAGCTGATCTGTGGCGGGCAGGCAGCCATCTCACAGGGTTGGACGGCGGCTGGGCGGAGCAAAGCGCTGCAGAATGTTTCCTCCAGCCTTATACCATCTAAACCAACACAGGTCACTTCTCTGGTCTGCTCACCCGAACCACAGGTCGCAGAGCACTGCACAAACAGCAACACAGAATTCACCTAAAAGTGTAATTTGAGGCCTCAAACCTGCACTGAAATGTTTGCCAAAGTGAGTTAATGTTATGTAAAAAAAAAAAAAATCTAAGTCATATCTCACTATAACTGTTGTTGCATAAAACTGAGAAAGAAAACTACAAGGAACATTTTATTTACTTAAGACAAAACTGTGTGAAAGGGTGGGCAGAGATAAATGAAGACGTCTGTTCTTATGAAGTGCTAATGGGAAGTAGGTATAAGTGACTGCATCCGAATCATGAGGCTGTGTCTTTCCAGAGCTTCCTTACAGACTGTATTTCCATTTGTATCTAGTTCCTTGTGCTTTGGGCTTGTATGACCTTTCTAACTCCAGCTATCATGTAATCATCAGTTTTACATTTGAATATTTGCTTTTCCTTGAAGATACACAAGTATATAGATGCAGACAATCTCTGAAAATAAAAACACAAGTTGTTTGAAAAAAGATTTTCCTTCTCAGCTGCAGTCAAGCATATTCTGTCTGCTACTCAGGAAAGATGATTTCTGATCTGTGTCCAGAGTCTTTATAAAGGTGATAAGGTTTTATTTAAACTGTTTTAGAGAAGAGTTTATTCAACTGTAAGATCATTTGCAGGCTCCAGTTTATATTGACCTCTGCACATACTGTATCTCACAGTCATTTCATGGGAAACTGGTTATAATGTTCCTTTAAACGTGGTATCTGGAAATTAAGTTTGAATACAGAGCGATGCACATCTTTAACTCACTGCGCTCCATCTGGTCACATGATACTCTGCACATCTGTGCATGTTGCAGGTCTGCACAGAGGGAGGAGCCTCAGTGTAGGCAGCACAAATGGCATCCTCCACTACACGGGGTCCTGAGGCATCATGGGAGATGCACTGCACACTGCGCACCTGGGAACCTCCACCACAGGTAACCGAGCAGGTATTCCACTCCCCGGTTCTCCAACTGGGACACACACCAGGAGAGAAGAGTGGTCAGGAGATGTAGCGATGTACAGAGGAGGTAAATGAAGGAGTTTCATTCCAAAATCAGAAAAGATGTTTACATCTTACAAGCGAAGGAGCAGACCATGTGCTCCATTATGTGTATTTACATTTTTTACTTCCTGCTTTAACTGAGAGGTAAACATTGATGAACATCAAGAGAAGTTTATAACTATTAAGTGTTGCTCCTGTTTAGTAGTCGTAATGGTTTATAGCTAAAAAGAATGAAGCTGTAAGCCAATATAAACAACTAGAACCTCTGTGGACACCCATAACTGAAGAGAAGGTAATAATAAATATATATAGAGAAGGTAATAATAATTGTATATAAGATTATATTTAATTTTATTATCATTTCATAATTTTACTTAAAATTAAATGAATATTACTGAAACATACCCATCCCAAAGTTATGTCTTTATATAGTGCCTGTTCTGTCCAGTCAACAAACTCAAAGATATTCACTAATATAAAACAAAGAACAGCAGAAAATCTTCATATTTTAGAAGCTGGAAACAATAAATGTTTAGATGAATGATTAATTATAACCTGGTTAACCAAATTAATGTGAATTTGTCTAGTCTCCATTAACAAATTGGTTCTTTGAGTTTTTGACAGTCTGCGTTTTTTCAATATTAACCTTAAACAAGTTTTCCGAAATCACTGCTTTAGAATGAAACCCTTCAAATGTAATGCGGGCTAATAAAAGGATGCGTTCTTTTAACAAATCGGATCCTCAGCAACATAGCTTCTAAAAACAACTACACACTAAAAACTGATTATGCTCAAAGCACCACATTCTTCTGGGGATTGCTGTGTTTTAAATAAATAAATAAGGAAATCCAGTTGATCCCAGCAGAAAAACAGCACTTGTTTGTCACCTCTTTGTTAGTTTGAACAGATTCTAATAACTAAAAAGTATTAATTACTAGAAAGCATCACTAAAACAAAAACAAACTCTGATTTTATTTCCTAATCTCAGCCCCAAATTTAGCACAGCTCAAAGATGTTAACATCTACGCTTTCTAGTCTTTGAATCGAAGGATAACGAGGGAGCAGTGACCCAAGCTTCATAAACATCTCAGGTTTCTGAGCAGCATTAAAGCAGAGAAGCAGGAAATACCAGAGAGTTACTGACTGAAGTGCCGGCTATTTACTCCCACACCTCTGCAGCTGTGTCCCATTCAGAGGTACACAGTCTCCAGCTCCACTCCGTGTTGGCTTTTAATCCACAAACACCTTACAAATCATCAGCTGCATGAACACAGAGTTTCACAGTCAGCTAAAGTTGGCAGGGATCTTTGGCGGGAATCAAATCGCTGTTCATTCTCCCTGGAGAGACATGCTAAGTGTGTCTAAGAGAAATAAGGATCATTAAAAGTTGGAAGGATATCTCTGAGCTGGACAGCTGCCCCACACCTTCGTTCTCACCCCACATGGAAGAACTGGCTTTGCACTAAACCCAGATTGTAGAGTCCAACATCTGGTGAACAATGTTATTTAGAGATTAGAGGCCAGAGAATACTATAAAAAAGAAAATACAAAAGTGATCATGCATCAGTGAAAGTAATGGCTTAATGTTTCAGCTCTCTCCCAGTGTTTGCAGACACCTACTGTAAAACTAACTACAGCCACTGACCCTGGGTTACCTCAATACGTAAGCTCTGAGTCCTTCTGACAATCTCCATAACTGTGGTGGAATCAGGTACGCTGTCCTTTCAGACAGACATAACAAACCAATAATAATCACAAAACTGCGCTGACACTTAGTTTTAACACCTGAGCAATTTAGCGGCTCATCTTGCTGTTTTCTTTAACCATTATTTAAACAGTTAGTCTCAAAGAGGTTGTGATCTCTTTCTCAAGAGAGACCTAAGAGAATTAAGAAAAGCAATTACATGTAGAATTGCAAATACTTAAGTATAATCTTTTAAATTCCCTTAATAGGATGAGGGATATCATTTTCAAGGTTTTCTGCAGCTGAGTCCACATGTGAGATGCATAGGACCTGGAATATCCAAGCTCGGTTTGAGCATACTCTCACAATAAGTATTGTGTTTATACAGTATGACACTAGTCAGTGATGGAAGAAAAATGAACTCTGGATGCTGGAAAAATCTTCTGAAGTTACACATTTTATCAGTGGGGTTTGTAATTTACCTGCGGACCTGTGGGCACGGTTGGGGATTGCACGTCCGGTTGGCCTGTGGCCTCGGCAGAGAAGCACAGAGATAATCAGGGTAGGCCTCGTTATCGATGGCACAGAAGACCAACCGAGTCTGGAAACCTAATGAAGGAAGAAACTGAGCCGTTTCAGTTTCCAGGAAGCAGTGCAATTAAAAACTGTTTAGATGATTGACTGTATTTTTTGGGAGTCTGACCTGATCCACACTCTTTGCTGCAGGAAGACCAGGATCCAAAACTCCAGTAATAACCTTCTGTGGAGCGTTCGTTTGGAAGGTAAAATTCATACTCCACCCCCTGGTTGGGCTCCTGGCTGAGCAGCTAAGAGCAGGATTGTGCATAAACATTAATAATCAATCAAGTGACCAACCAAATATACTGAGGGGGTCATGGTCCTCAGAAGATGAATGCTACTATGATTTATCAGACTCGCTGACCTTTCCTGGAGCATTAGGTCACAGGTTTGACCCATGACAATACTGTAGAGTGACAGAATCTCAAAGACTAACTGACAAATTTCCATCAAATCTGCTGTGGATCTTCATGGTCCCCAGAGGCTGAATCCTAATGTTTCATCATCACTCTGAAAGCCCCACTATGAGGCTCAAACTTGTGCCGAAACTGTCCCATAATTTAATAAACCATTTGCAATAACAGTTGCTGGTCATGTTCATGTCCCCAAGAGGATCTATACTTATTTTAAAGGTCTGATGACTGTTCCTCTACTGCCACGCTTAAAGCAAACCTGAAATGCTATGCAGATCAAATTTATTAATACATTTCTCATTGTGTCTGTTTCTGTATTGCAGTAATGAACAGGACATTAGCACAACTTTGAGAAGACGACAGATGTGGAGGTAAAGATTTGACAAAGAACATAAGAGTATGAAAGACAAAACCAATTTTACCTCAACAACAAGGGGTTCTGTGGTGGGGCCACGGCCGGTGACGGTTTCAGGGACGTCTTCACCCACAGCACCTCGTTGGTAGTACAGCACGGTGCTGGAGATGGGAGTCGACCTGGAAGCCTCAATTATCCAGTGGCCATTAAGGTAGTACTCTCCACGTAGGTTCTTGATAGCTGCAGAACAGAGAAACCTTGGTTAAGTGTTGTGCATACTACAGAATTATGAAGAGTTAAATCCACTAGTCAAACACAAACTCACCAAGGTAGTTGCGTGTGGCCACCGTTTCTCTGATGCTGATGGTGGTGGCTCCAACAGGAATGATAAACATCTGGTTGTAGCCTGAGATGAAAACCAGACCTAAGTCCTATCACACATGCAGCTGCAAACTCAGACAGAAGAAGCACTGCTGATACAGATTCAAAAGATGGATATAAAAATCTACATCTCTGGTGCTTCTCATGGGCCTTTCTGGTACATTAGTGCTAGGGAAGTTTGGCTGTGGTGACAAATGTCATGAGCGACAACATCTGGTAGTGTCTGGTAGAAAATGCATTTTACCAGTTGGCAGGTCACGCACAGAGAAGCTGTCCTTGATGCGGTAGCAGGACTGTCCATGACCCCCACACTGCAGGCAGGGGTCCTCCTGCTGGGGAGACTCCAACATGTTGTCACACCCCAGATGCTGGAGATGGACAAAAAGATTTCACACTTCATAAGGAAACCACCAGTGCACTATATCCTCTCCACAGAGGAGGCGTTACAGACATGAAGTCAGAGGCTGAACAGGCATCTGACCTGGCAAGGTAGGCGGCCTACCTTGCAGACTCCAGCCACACAGACATCCCTGCGTCCAGGGTGGCAGGGTGTACCGTCGACCACAGCGCTGCGGTGACGGTAATAAAAGTTTTCCCCTCTTGGCATGCAGTTCAGCTCACACGGGTTCTCAGCTACCAAAGAGATTAGATTTTAAACAATTAAAACAGCTTTGTGTAGTTTTTGTTGTAGCAGTTGTACCTTGAGATATGTGTTTGTTTCTCATCTTTGGAAATTCAACCTAAAGCTAAGTTCATGTTTTTATTATTGATCAATATAACAAGAATCACTTTCCAGTTTTTCTGCGTGTGAAACTATGGTCTACAGTTTTAGAAACATATTAATATTTCTGTGTTTACATGTAGAAATGAGCTTTGCTTTGCGTCAGACCTCCATAATATGGGAGCCACTTGTAGCGTTTCCCCTGAAAGTCAGTCCCGTCAAACATGGAGCACTGCTCTTCACGGAAATCCCTGGATCCCTCCGGACAGTCCTGGGAGGGATGGGGGGGTCAGAGGTCAGATCAACAGACATGCTTACGGGTTTAAAACAAGTTATACATCTGGGTTGTTTAATTAGGGATGATGTACAATATTAACAGATGATACTGATCATATTAACTTTGATGCTGTCATTCAGGCTATAGCAGCATAATAATAGGTACACGGATTATAAACCCAAATGGAGCTTCACAATGAAAAAGAGCTAAAGTTGTAAAAACCGTATGTGCTTGTTCACCTGGATGTTGCAGGAGCGGTAAGACTTCTCTGGTCCAACACAGCTATGTCCTCCATCAGTCCTGTATGTCGAAAACAGAGCACTAATGTGAAACGCTACTGGCTGATGTTCTGTAGATTAACACTAAAGTAGTTTCTCTTAAGGTAGGTACTATCCTATATGAAGCTACACCAGCTGGCTGCCTGAGTAAATAAAGCCACATCATATCGTCATCTATTCAGTTTTTTTTCCAAGAGGTTCTCCACCGGATTAGTATTAAGTAAAGTTGCAAGAGACAAATTAAAAGATTAACGGTCAAAATCAGTGAGGCAGCGGCTGGAATATAAAACCACAATGCAACAGGATAGACTTTCTCATTAAACCTGCCCCTGCCTCCTGAATGCCCACCTCCAGTTTTGTAACAGCTTTTAAATGTAGTATTCTCAAGCCCGAGATTAGATGACACAGATTCAATTATCGTGGTTCATTTCAAACTTTGGGAAACTCCTTCAGAGCCACAGAAGACCTCGTTGAGCTGTTTTCACGAGCTGTGATGAGTAAAGTCAGCGGAGTGCCCCTTTAAGCCATAAATATGTGTTTATCCTTAGCCTAGTTGGTGCTGTAACATCCACTTTTCTGACTTATGTTGCATTAAAGCTTTGTGGGTCATCACTGTGACACAGGAACAGCTAATGACTAGGTGGGACTGTAGCGCACGTATGCAAATACAAACTGGCTGCAAATGCAGAAATAACCAGACATTAAGTGGCACTCCTCTCTGCACAGCAGAAGATCCAACATCACCACTGTTTAACTGAAGCCTTGCACAAACATGTGTATGTTTGATCACGGGTGAACAGCAGATGCCCTCCCTTCCAGCTGTGTTGATAAATCAGGATTAAGTCACCTCCAAAGGGACCTTCCCTAAAGCCTAAAGACAAGACGTGCTCTGGTCAGCACTGGAACACTGGAACACTGAAACTACATGTCAGAACAGTCGTTCACATCATCCGCCCCTCGACTGTTCACCCAGGAGTGGAAAATAAAACATCTGGAGCATCAGCAAGCACTTGCATTTTATAATGATAAAGTGGGAAAAATGGCAGATATTCAGGCAAAGCTGCTGATCACACAAAATTAAAATGAATTATAGCTTATAACGGATACATTGGGAAAAATAAAGATAATTAGTTAAAACTGTTCAAAGTGTAAGACCTTTGAATGGAGGTAATTTTACACTAAAGGGAATATACAGTATGTTGAAATAGGAGTTCCTGTAAAGCACACAGTGATTCAGCCCATTAAATCACAGCAGACAAGACATGACAGAGTTGATCCATGCAGGTAGCAGTGGGCAGGACGTCTTCCCTGTTGTTTATCACTCAGCTAAAGAGAAGGAGCAGACTCATTCACAGACTGTTTGACTCACTGGCTGACTGCACGGACGTGTTTTCTTTATAACGATGATTAATGTGACGAGCTATGATAATTATGTTTTACTGTCATATAATGTATCAAAATATCAAACAAGGGGAATCATAAAACTGTTTGAACATGTTAGAGAAACAGCACATTACAGACATTATTCACCTAGTGGGCATGGTTGTTCCAAAAAAAAAAAAAAAAAAAAAACTAACTTTTTCTAAAAAAATAAAAGTCCCTCTGTGTTATTGGCCAATTACTGAGGCACGCCTTCATTCTGCTGAGCAATGTCTGGCCAGAAGTACTTCACATGCAGCTGATGAATAATAAATGTCTTTTGGGAAGACAATTATCAGCAGTAGTAATGTTCCTTTAGTGGTTTCAGGCACAATGGGACACTGGACAAAAGGAACCAAGAGCTTCTGACCTCACTTGAACATCAGCGTCTAGCTGGAGCCCTTTGACATGTATCAGAAAGAGATTTCCCCTTTTAAACTTCTCAGCTCCATTTAAATCACCGTTTAAGGCCCATTGAGGTCAAATAAATATTAGAGAAAGGTTCAAACCCATCCAGAGACGTCCCTCCTTAGTAATCATCTCTTGAGCCCTCAGAATTATCCTGTGACCCTTTGGAGAGACCCGACTCTCAGACTGAGAATCAATGGACAAAACTACTGGAGTGTATATAAAGTACATAAAACTCTATAGATACAGTGAAGTGTTCCTTATACACTGATGCATCAGTATTAACATCTAATAATGTAAAACATACTGTAACACCACATCTACCAGAAGGACCATTTATCTGCACGATGACTACTTTTACTTCTTTTTGGTTTTGAGTGTAGGACCTTTACATCATTTTACATCATTACATTGATAAATTTACCTAACTAAAACACCTGAATAACTAAAGCAACCAAAGTATGGCCCATCTCTTCTCACCTCGTGAATACAGATCACTTTATGAGTTACATGAGGCAACATGCTGGATTCCAGCAATAACAGTTACAGTGGAAGCTGGCAGCAGCTGTAAAGGCATACCTGTGACTGATCACTCTGTCCTGTTTAGTCTGATGTAAGAGTAGCAGATTTAAAACCAAGCCCAAAATGGCCAAAAGCCATATTTAACAAAATGACGCGTTAAAAAAACCAAAGGAAAATGATGAAATTATTTTTTTAAACCACTTTTGAAATCTTCTCATCCAAAAAGGGCCGATAGAAACGTCCCGTCCTCTGCAGCAACCACACATTCACATATTGATGCACACGTAGATGCATTAAAACAATATATACTCTGAGGTCATACCTGTGACTGATACAGCGTCTGGTTTTCACGGTCACACCGCCGCCACAGCTGCGACTGCACTCTCCATAAGCACCCCATGAGTCCCAGTAATCCTTACTGGGCACCTGGATACAAAACAGCATGTTATACACAACATCACAGTGTAAAGCTCTACACTAAATCTATGCTAGAAAGTTGTTTTCTTTGCTTTGGAACCAAATATGAACATTGGCAACGGTTTGACTGGTTTATCAAATGCTGTTTCCAAGGTCAAGAATGAACTTTAAAACTGAACCTTTAAGCCAACATGGAGGAGAAGCAGTGCTCACACTAATGGAAATCTGATCATCTACAATTCAAACCCGATCTATTGAGAAAGATCAGAAGCTCTAGAACAGCTGGAGATGAGATTGTTGCCAACCAAATCTCAGATGGCACGCTGTATTGTCTGCGGTGATGGCACAAAATGTTATAAATAAGAAGGTAAAACCAGAAGAATTAATATTATATTGATCTAACTCATAAATGAGTTGACTAATCATTGCAGCTAGTCCTGAAATAATGTACAAACTGCACCGATTTAAAAGAAAGAAAGGAACATTTAAATATAAAACAATGTAGAAAAGGCAATTCTAACAGGAACATTGCTCAATATTTAGAGGATCCACTGGGATTTTACCATGAGAGCTGGAGCCACGAGCAGCTGAAGGATTAGCAGAGGCAGGAGCATCTTTGTTGTTCCCTGGAAAACCAAGACATGCAGAGTTAGTCACTGTGACTAATAGAGGCTATTGAGCAACCTTTCTGGAAACAAGCCAGGGCAGCAAAAGCAGAAATAGTAATTGATGTGAGACACAAGCCAGCATATACAAAAAGGATCCATAAGGGCAGAAGGAGACAGCAAGAGGTCTCTGAGAAAAACCTCCTCCTGTCTGATTCAAGTCAACCATCACAAAACAATAACAAAGAATCCACTTTGGTTTTTGGCTTCGGGCACTAATCAACAAAATGAACGTATACGAGTACCGACACAGCAGCTTGTTCTGTGGCTTGACTTGCAGCTGCCAACCACAGCAGCTCATCAGCAACATGTGTGAGTCAAGTAAAGTTTGCATCAGATGAAAACAATGTATGTAGAAGATGTCGATTAGTTTGACCAACATGTGGTGGTTGTCAAAAGGGAAATCCAGAGATACAGTGGGTAACACTGCACAATTTTAATCCATGGAGGAAAACATAATTAGGATTTTAATCAATTCACTGAATGACAATCATTCCCATCCATCTCCTGTAAAGAAAAGGCTTTCTGTGAGATGTCCAGCTCCGTCACTTGCCTCTGCTATCTCATCATTTAATTGGTTAACTGAGCTAAAAATCAGTCATTTGTTGCACAGGGAGAGGCTATTTGTTTGTTTTTCCAGGGCAAATTGAGGTTTCCTGTCCCCCTTAGAGAGAGAGAGAGAGTAGGGGGCTGACTAGAGCTGCTACACCAGCCCTGACCTGTTAACCATGGCCACCAAAAGCTCCCACCATGAGGAAAGTCACGCTGCGGTTGTGAACGCCCTACAGCAAGGAAGACAGGCGGTCAGCACATCTGCTCCGTCTCCCTCGAACACAAACACCCATTGCAGCAAAAGCCCCAGACTGAGCACCGTAATGGCCCCTGGGTGGTGGTGGTGGTGGTAATCGGGGACTGTTCTCCTCTGTTAGGGGCCGGCAACAGTCACTTACACTTCAGCAACTCAGTGCAGATAAAAGAAGAAGTACCCTGGCTAATTATTGTCATTACCAACCAATCTATTGACTTTCTCAATGAACAAATGAATTGTTTGGTTTCTAAATTGTCAGAAATTAAAAGATGCACATTAGCAGCTTCCAGAGCTGGAGATCACATCTTAATATTGTTGATTTGTCCGAGCAACAGTCCAAAACCCAAAAGTATATTAAAAAGAGAACAAAAAATCCTCACAACTGAGAAACTGGGACAAGTGAATGTTTTGCATTGTAGCTTAAGAAATGACTTTGAATGATAAAGTAAAAACTGTTAGTTCAGGTTAAGTCCAACAATCAAAACCATAAACTGATGGATCAGCAGCAGCCTAGATCTTTACCTTTGAGGAAGAAAATGGTGTTCGATCTGTAGCTCAAATACAGCTCACTGTTTTGAAGTGAAACTTAATTTATCACACTGATCTCCTCTCAGGTCAAATGATATCCTTGACCTTGAACACCATTAACCGCTGCTCCATTCAGAAGATCCCCAGTGAGGTTCCTGTATCACAGTACAGTACCAGCTCCTATAAAGGCTTCAGCCTCGGGCGATTACAAACTCTTATCCAACCAAATGAATCATTTCAGTAAGTAAAGCAAGCAGTGTCATGTGGCCTGTGAAATGTGTGTGAAGCTGCAACAGGCAGCTGGTTGGTCCAGACAGCCTTCATCAAATAAAAATAATTAAAAAAAACAGATGATTTTTCTACAAGAAGTCACCAATAAATTGACTATGTATTATTAATGCCTATTTTAGCTCCTTTCCGTGGTTTATTGTTAAACTTCATTTAACTTGCATATCAATTTTATGTCCCACTGTGTCCTTGTCATCTGAAGTAAACATGACAGAAGCAACTTCCCGTGTTATTGAAGTAAACCCACCAGGTTACTCACCCCTTTCTGTGGCTTTAAATGGGGTTTCGGGAGTCCCACACCGCCGGTGGATCCGTGCGCAGGACGGCGCAGCACCTGGCTTCTTTCCGAAGCTTTGAGTTAAGATGCGTGAGTTAGCTGCACTGTGCTGGATATATGAGGAGGGTTATCCGGCTGCCCTGTCTGTTTGTCCTGTATCAAACAGGAAACCAACAAGAGGAGAAAGTGCGGCTGGTGAAACCTCCTCTTTGGCGTCACCGCGCTCTTTACCTACGCGTCCAGCCCAGTTCAGCCCCTCCTGACACAGTTTTACGCACAGTCTGTAATTTTAAACTGTAAACTAGCAGTTAATCACCGTGTTCGTTTGTCGTTAACTCCCCCATAACTCTATCCTAGATGAGGATTTTGGAAAACTGTATTCCCACTTTGCTATAACCAACGCGTCATTATCAGTCTAAGTGTTCATTAATAGCTGCTGAGATATTTCAATTAAAACCACAAACGCAGACTTCATGGTGAAGATGCTTCCGAGTGATGGGGATACACAGGAAATATGAATATCTGTACAGATGTTTGTGCCAGTCCATAACAGATGCGTTGAGATATTCAACTAAAGAGGTTAAAACTTTGAAACCAGACGTTTTTAGATGACCATATCCATCCAGTAAATAGTGAGATACTCTTCTAATCCTATTAAAACTTAATAAGTACACCTTTCCATCTGATACAAACTGAGCTTGCACCTTTGACCAAATTGACAAAATACAAAAGTGACCTTAATACATTTTACTTAGAAGAACCAGACAGTGTAATAGATATATCATCACAATTATGTTAAAATTGCATGAAAACAATATAGAAAAGTGATTGTTTGGGGTTTTAGAGAGGAAACCACCACAGCCACTAGCAGACAGGGATGTCCTCCCCCTGCCCTCTCTGCTCGTTTGGGGGTGAAGTTTTATGAAACATCCCAACTTGCCTCTAAATACAAACACCCAGAACTACTGAAACTGAGTTATGTACTTGTGGGCTCACCCATCTCAAGCCTCACACTTTACTGTTTACATCGATTTATTTGGACTGGGATTCATTCAGAGGGTGTGTGAAACAGCCAGAGCTGTGTGGTGTCCCTGAAAACTGCTTTCATGGCACCAAAACCCATTCAAGCCTTTGTTTGTTTGATTGCACTGAAAGATGATTTTACTTGTTTAGGATGGACTGAATGACTCAAATTAAATATTTAAAATGACGGTTCAGGTAATCATAACCACCTAACTGAAACCGAGTTAACTCCTTCAGTCCTGTCTCAACCTTCTCATTTATTGCGTCCATCCAACATCACAAAAAGTACTCACTGTAGACAACAGGCCCCTAAGACTGTTATACATTTTTATTATTGCTACATTATGTAGTATTTTAGTCCTCTAACTGGTTGAGGTGGAGCTATTTTGACTATTTTATAAACTGTTGGGTTATCTATGCATTATATTTGATGAACATGTTTTACATGTTCATTTTTAGTTTAAGTAACTAGAAAAAAATGGAGAGACGAATGAGAAAAGGTGACCAAGTTCCCACATCCACATTCCTAAAGACCTCCAGGATTGATTCCTGGTCATCATGTGCAGCCATGGCTTTAGGAGCAGCCCTAAGCCACAGGATTTAGGTTACCATCCTCCTCCTGGGCTAAATACACATATGCAGACTTTCTATAAACTAAACAGCTGTGCTCGGTTCAGCGTTCATGTCCACCTAGTCTGTAAAACTCTTCTGCAACAAGCTGCTTTCCACCTTGTCCAGTCTTGTTTTCCTCCAGCCCATATCCACCTACAGGCACGTGTAGGCCTTCAGAGCTGCCGACTGAGCTTCTGTGCCTGCCGTTCCTTTGCGTTAAAGGCATATTTTGTGTCCTGTAGTTGCTCTATAATCTCCTTGGCCTCCTTCATCTCCATGGCGAGCTGGTCGTACTTCTCCACCAGCTCCTGGTTCTCTCTCCGGAGCTCCACCACCAGCCGGCTCAGCTCCTTGCTCTGCTTCCCGCAGTGAAGCTTCAGCTGCTCCATCTCTGAGAGAGTCTCTTCCATGCGCTTCACCAGACCCTCCAGCTTGTCCCTGGACATCTTTTTTTTATTTTATTTTAATTTACCTTTGAAGAGATTTTTGTTGTCTTTGTCTCCTTGGTTGTGTCTGTGCTCACTGCCTGTCAGGAGCGATTACTGAAGTCTAATCCTCAGTCTCTCCCTGTACAATAATCCCCTTAGTAGAGCTAACCTGGGAAACCTCTAACACACACACACACACACACAGGTGTAACCAACAGCTACAACATTTCCTGCCCAAGTCTCTTCCATACAGACGATGACAGTGACTGACAGGTTACCTCAACACTACCTGTAGTCTCACCCACATCAATAAACAAGTTTAAAGGGTTACACAGAAAGGTGCCGTTTGTTTTAACATCTGCAAGGACCAAAACAAAACAGAAGAGGAGAATTCTTTATCACTGGGAAAAAATTAACTCTTGAGTAACCTTTCCTGGGAAGGAAGCCAAAACAGTTTCTACTGCAAGGTGTAACGTCATCTAAACAGGTGTCTGGAATCGATACAGAGCCGTTCATCAGCTGAGCTACAGGATTCAGTCGCCACAGTGAGGCCTCACTGAGGGCTTGTTAGGCAAGTGGCACTACAAGGCTAAGCATTCTGGGCAAAGTGCCATGCCGTGCCCCTGTCCTCATAGCGAGGCCGAACGGTCCCCATGGTGACAGCTAATTCGTCCACCTCTCCAGGCGGTGTGCCAGCCAGGCCTATCTTCAGTGGTACATCAGTGCGCTGAGGAATTTTCACAATGTTTTCACTGTCTGCTCACTGGAAATCAGTGCACATGAAGTACAGGAGATAAGAGTGTGGACCTTGACCTCTGACCTGATCCATGTAAAATAAATAAATAAATAAAAGACTTTTCAATGTCATTTATTTAAAAAAAAGAACAGAATCTGGATTGGATAACCTTGCATAACCCAAGTATGCATGTGAAGGACAGGGAAAAAAAAAAAAACCCCAGCCACCCAACATATTCCTGAACAACCAAAGGGTGGGAGGACAGGACAGGACTGTCTCAAACCAAATGTTATCTTGTTCTTTCCTGGTTTCTTTTCTCAGCATGAAACTCTAGTGCAAGGACTAAAGAGAAAACAATACAACTCGTCTTTTCTCCATCACGGAACATTATCTGGCATATGATAATATAAATTTTGGGTTCATACACATCTCAGTGTTTCATAGTAAACCATTATTTTCATTTACTCTAAAGTTTCTCCATTTAATTTAAAATGGTCGAGTTACTGATGCTACAAATGGACAATATTTTTCCAAAAATGTTCACAAATTCAAGTATCAAATTTGGCTACATCTACAACTTGCTTGTGTATGAGGACCGCTGCATCAGAACCTGCAGATCATTTCTGGCAAAAGGTTTTTCACCTTACTGGCCTTTCCTGATTTGTGTAGGAACCCCATTAACATTTACACGGGGATGTCTCAGAAAGTACAAAGTTTCTCTTCTGCATATCTTGAAAAAAACACAACAGTATCGATGTACAGACAAAATAATGAGTGTTTGATGTAGCATAGTTCAAGACAGCACCAGGCGAGCGTCATGACGGCAGCTATAGCCTAAAGGTTCAGCATTTGTGACCAGATGATCACAGGTTACAATCCCTGGAGAAAAAAAAAACCCAACACATTAAATCCCAGTCAGGAGAAGGAAAAGCACATTTCTGTCTCACAACAACAACTATATTACTATTGGAATGCCCTTGAGCAAGGCACTGAACCTCCGACTGCACCAGCGGGACTGCTCAGTGATTAACAGGCAAGTCTCAGGTGTGAGCGCGTCAGTGTGCGACCTCCTCCCTCTGCAGGCCGTGAAGTCAAATGTGATTTAAGGTAAACAATAAGGGCAGAAAACGGTGAAACCTGTCATGAGCTGATGTCACAAGAACACTCATTTTAAATTCTAGACATACATTTCTTCACTTTTTCACATGACACAGATTCACATGTCCAAGCCACCGCTTGGTTCTGGATCAGTCTCTCTGGGTGTAAACTGCTCTGGCCTCAGAGCTCTGGTGTCTACAGTAGAAAAATCATTCTTAGTGGCGGTGAGGAAAGCACGCTCTGGTGACTGACAGCTCATACATAATCAGACTATACATTTACCAATCTATGATCAATATCATCCTTGAGTGTCCATTAGTTTGACAAAGGCTTTTTGTATCTTCGGTTTAGTTTGGGCGTGGTGGTAGCTCAAGTCATGACAACAGGCGGCGGTAAAGATTTTTGCTCAAAGTCTGTGCAAGGAGATTTAATGAAACTGTCTCCCTTTGCACAACAGCTATCGCCAAGGTGTCCCTGAACAAGGCACCTACTGTGGAGCGGGCAACTGGGCAGCGCTGACGTGCGTGTGCATGGATGTGAAGCAGGGCACTGCCCAAAATGAGCAGGCGAGCTCTTGTGAAGTTCTGCTGGATAAATAAGGATAAATTATTCCCACTGACGGACCTCTTAGATTGTGTCCGATGATCAACAACAAATTTGAAGATGACGTCCCAGGTGGAGCGAGGAAATTTCTTCTTGTTTACAAAGTGAAATAAAATATGTTGTGGGGAATACCCTCCCGTAGCGCCACAAAGAAAGGCAGAACAAAAATAACTCGTGTCCCATTATCACAAGTCCTTAGGAGGGGGTGCGGGGCAGGAGGGGACTCCTGCATCGCCCTTTGTTCCCCAGCTGTGAAGGGACCGCTCTCGTGTTGTTGACTGGAGAGCTGCGTGGGTGGGGGCTAACAGGGCAGCGTCCTGCTAAATGTAGAACTGGTGTAGCGCCAGCTGGTCCATGAAAGGTTGTACCAAGTTGTCTGTGGCAAAGTAGAAGACCAGGCCGAAAAAAATGGAGATGGGCAGAGCGGGCAGCGCTTTCTTGAAGATGGCGAGAAGAAGCAGGGTCAGACACAGGCCCTGTGGCGGCACAGACAGACAAACAAAACAGAGAGGAAACTCAGTGACTGTGTATCAAACAAAATCAGCTCTGAAGGGGAAAAACAGCCTGTTATGCAATGGTGTGGGGCACATAAAGGGGGGTTAGATACTGTGCTGAGAAACAAAGATAAGACTGCGGTGACTTGAGCTTGATGCCAACATAAGCAGCTGTGGTCACTCACAATGAGAATGGCTACAAAACAGGCAAGTGTGGTGTTCCAGTCGCCGCTGGCTGTGGCAGACGCTTTCCCCACCAGCATGCTGTAGAAGATGAAGTCTCCGAGCCCCAGCTTGACACCCCCTGAAAACACAAAAGGACAACACATTCAGGGTGGAGTCAATTCAAATGAGATTAGCTTCAGCCCCACATCCTCCATAGACGCCCGTAATCACTGTACAAACAAGAGCTCCGTCCTCCTGCTTACAGAAGCTTTAAGTTAGAGAGGATGCAGATCTGAAAAGCACGGGAGAAGAAACCCAGCAAGTGCCATGAAGAATCAGTCTGCAGCCAAACATGTAGTCACATTCACAGACACACTAATTTCACAAAAAAGGGAAAAAAAAACACACAGACAATAACATCCCACTAATGTTTGATTTGTGGGATGTCGGACAAGTTTCAGTTGCAGAGCTCAGCTGTATTTTAGGGCTGTGATGTAAATTTAACATGATCATAATGTAGCTTTGCTCATTGATTCCATGGTATAACATTATTTTATAGAAGACGATGCTACAGGGACAGACAGCTGTGGAGTAAAGGAAGACATTAAGCTTTGGTTCTAATTATGAGCATTTAAAACAAACATTTAAATGTAAAAACAATTCAAGGTTCCAAAAAGTTTTCAGAAAAATGCACTGTGCAAAGCTGAAGGAGTTTTTCTTGGCTCAGAGATTCATTGATGTCACAGCAACAAAGAAATTATCAATACTTGTCACGGCTGCTCTGTGCTGTTTAATAAGGCAAACAACGAACGATATTTAGAGGAGAAATGCTGTTTCCATTGGCCACTGTTCAGTTGAAGAGTCGTGACCTGATATGTTTTAAAGAGCTGCCGGCTCTGATGTAAACTAACCTCGAAGTCGATCACAACACTCAGAAAGACAGGATCCCTCTGCCTCTGTTATGAGCTTTAGAGCTTGGGCATATCACCCAGTGCACGGGCGGGCGCTAAAGATTCACTGGTGAATGAGAATAAAACTGAATAAGAAGGTGTTTTATTTGGCAATGCCGATTCCCTGTCTGCTCGCAATCTTCGTCTTTGGCGTCTTATTCCAAAGCCGCTCTAAAAAAAAAACGTAGGTGTTTAATTTGATAATGATTTGAAACTTGACAGGCAAATTAATGTTGATGTAAAAACTAGTTTATTCCAAATAAGTCTGCTACATAAAGGTAAATCTTTCCTCCCGTTCAGTGAACTGGAGATGGCCATCCATCTTTTACTAGCTACGGATTAAACTACTGTAATGCGTTGCATTCTGGAGTAAGTAGGTCTTCACTAAACACACATCCGTTTCCCTTGGCCTATGGCTCTTAGTACAGTTTACCTATTCGGTTATTGCTTGTCTGTCACCTCTTTTTGCTTCAATTCTATTTTATTCGATTCTCTTTTGTTTTCTTCTTATTTTTGTACTTGTGAAGTACTTTGGTCAACATGCCATTGTTTTAAAGTGCTATATACAGTGGCAAGAAAAAGTATGTGAACCTTTTGGAATTTCATGGTTTTCTGCATTAATTTGTTATAAAATATGATCTGATCGTCATCTAAGTCAAAAGTATTGACAAGTATAATGTGCCTAAAATAATAACCCAAAGAAATTCCGATCTTTCATGTCTTTATTGAAAACAACCATAAAAGCTTCATAGTGCTAGTGGAAAAAGTAAGTGAACCCTTGAGTTAATGACTTCAAAAAAGCTAATTGGAGTCAGGTGTTGGCATACCTGGAGTCTAGTTAAGAAAATGAGTTTAGAGGTGTGGACTAGATCCACTTTGACTGATGAAAACCACTCAAACATTTTGAGTTTGCTCTGCACAAGAAGAATATGCTTTTGTCAGCCATGCCTCACCAAAAAGAGCTTTCAGAGGATCTAGCCAAAGATCTGCAGGTGTCATTGGAACTAACATCTGTCTTGCATAAAACACTGAACAAGCAGGGTGTCTATGGCGGGACACCATGAAGGAAGCCGCTGCTTACTAAAAAGAACATTGCTGCACACCTGAAGTTTGCAAAACAGCACACTGACACTCCACAGCGGTATTGGCAAAATGTTTTGTGGACTGATGTAACTAAGACATGAACTATTTGAAAAAACACACAGTACTACATCTGGCGTAAAAAGGTCACTGCATATCATCATGAAAACATCATCCCAACCATAAAGTATGGTGGAGGAATCATGATTTGGGCCTGCTCTGTTGCATCAGGGCCTGGCCAGCTTGCAGTCATTTAGGGGAAGATGAATTCCCAAGTGTTTTAAAACATTCTTCAGGATAATGTGAGAATGTCTGTACGTCAGCTGAAACTCTGTAGAAGTTGGGTGATGCAACAGGACAATGACCTAAAACATGGGAGCAAGTCCACAACAGAATGGCTTCAGAAAAACAAAATCTGCCTTTTGGAGAGTCAGAGCCCAGACCTCAACCCAATAGAGATGCTATGGAATGACTTGAAGAGAGTCATACACGAGAGACGTCCAAAGAACATGACAGAGCTAAATAGGTTCTGCAGTAAGAACGGGCTAAAATTCCTCCTGAACGATGTGCAGGTCTGATCCACAGCTACAGGAAGCACCTGGTTGAGGTTATTGCTACCAAGGGGGGGTCAACCAGTTATTAATTCCAGGGGTTCACTTATTCCACTACCATTGTGAATTTTGTTTGTGTTATTATTTTAGACACATTATATTTGTCAATAGTCTTGACGTAGATGAAGATCAGGTCACATTTTATGACAGATTAACGCAGAAAACCATGAAATTCCAAAAGGTTCACATACTTTTTCTTGCCACTGTAAATAAATTTGGATTTTATTTGATTTCATTTTAGTGCCATTAAATAAAATGAATAACCTTCAAAAAATATTAAAATTAGTTAACTAACAGCATTATTCTAAATTACACTCCCGTTACTTCCCTGCACCTGTATGGTTAAAACTCCTGGTAACTAGAAGGTCACGTGGACGGTCCACCTGTCAGCTCCACGACCAACATGTAAAACATTCAGCACTCACTCTCCTCATCTTCATCTTCAGCAGCAGGACGAGCAGAGGTCAGCCGCGGGTTTCCTCGGTGGACTGAAGCGGCCCCAGCTGGTGGGACTGCTGGTTGACCCAGGAGGGGGTGAAGCCTCCGTCGTCCTGTGACGAACTGGAGGGACCCAGGGACGCCACGGCTGCCGACAAGAGAGATCAGTCACACAAACAACAATCACACTGTAGTAATTATCAGGTCACAGGCTGAACCCTGCTCAGTCATCATCACCTTCTTGAGACTCTTGTTGAGGCAAAGCCGCTTCTGTTGAATTCCTCTTTGGCCTGTCGGTGTCGGCCATGTTGACGAGCCACACCATTGTAGCTGGGACAGAAGTAAGAGAGTACGAGGTTTCAAGGTTTGTGTTGTAAGCAGAGTCAAAGAAAAACTAACAAACACTGACAAATGTATCAGTCACAGGTGAAGTGGAAATTAGCTGAGGTGGCAAAGCACAGAAAGCAATCTGTCCCTGAAAGGAGCAGAAGTGGCAGTTTAAATGAAAAGTAACTTCATCTACTGTAGGTTCTCCTACTCTTTAAATGTTGTGTTTCACTGGCCCACCTCTGTTTTTTATTATAAAATGTTAGTAAATAGAGGTTTATATTCATCGTTTATCTTACAAGAATAAATGAGAGCTGGAAATATCGGTTCGTTCCTCTCCTGAGCCGTCTCCACCAGGATCCTCAGAGGCCCTTTGGGGCAGAGCACCGCTAACAGATCTATGAGAGGAAAGAAGAACAGAGGACGCTCTGAGAGGCCAGGACAGCAGCATGACACGACATCTGTGATAACAAGAGGCGGAGACTCAAGTGGCTGTCAGGGAGCAGAGAGACACAGGTCTGATCACTTCAAAAACAAAACTCCAGGCCATTAAAACCCATGAACTGAAGCACATGCTGCTGTAAAATGTTTACCTCACCGGGGACTGAAATAAGTGCAAGAAATCACTGTAGACCAGAATCTAAACATGATTTCCACTTAAAATAAGAACTTTTGCTGTGGAAATGCTCCAAAACTTAATGTCTTAATGTGGAGAGGTGACCCGGACTCACTGAACAGCACTGGCAGCAGTGCAGAGATATTGACACTAAAAAGGTTTTGAGCGGGACTGACTTCTCTAACCAAACATGCCCAAGCCCAACCCACAATGCATCTGTGTCATGCACAGTCATCCAACACTTTTCAGTCAAAAATCGGCTGTTGCGAGCTCAATAATGGAGTTCGTAAAGTAAAAGGAAACTGGAAGGTCATACAGGTATACTGTATGTTTTTAATTAGACCCAATGATGTGCTGAATTTTACATATAAATTTTTGGCTTATATTCCTTGTTACACAGGCCTGTAACTTAAAATAAAACATTTCCATTTGGACAAAAGTCGCGGTTGCTCTTTAGTTCTTTGGGATATAAGGTACTGGGTTAAGCTAGAAGTGAAATACATGTGGATACATGCAGTGGGTGCGATTTGAATGGAGCGCGATGCAATCTCAGCTGAACGCTGAGCGGTAATGAGCGGAGCAGCCTGGTGTGGTGATGAGTGGGGCAGCTCCAGCTCCACTCCACTCATGCGCTCTGGTTAGAGAACACATTTTTAATCTTACCATTTTTCTCCAACACTGTTATTCTGTTATGGAACACAGGTGCTAAAAAGAAAATCTGATGACTTGATGCTCAAAAACATCTTCAGAGCCAAGACTTCACATTTCTCCCCCAAAAGCACACACAGCTCAAAGCAAGAGGAGAGAATTTACCATAGACAGATATGACTGCTAGTATGAGCCAGGCTGTCCACTCTGGCAGATACTTGATGAAAACCAGGGCCATGAGGGCGCTGATCATGATGAGGTAGGCCTGCTGCAGTCGCAGCGGTCCTTTCCAGTGAATACACATCATGCCCACCACTCCGAAGTTCCAGATTATTATCGCCAGGGTGAAGTAGTCCATGGCCACATTGTAGGTCTTGAAAACCTCTCTGTTGGACAGAGCAGAGAAATAACGGAAACACCTGGGAAGTCTCCTTCAGTCACCATAAAGAATCAGATGACATAGTACTACCACAAGCTGTCAAAATACCTAAAGCTTATTGTCATTTACGGTTGATCAAATCAATCACATCGACAAAGCAGACAAAGCTTCTATCATTAGGTGTTGTTTATGAGGGGGGATGAAAAGGTTTACACACTGGTATTGTGTCAAAGTGTGGTCTCGTACCCAGGTGTTTCTCCCCTGTTAAACAGTTTCCCTCAAAATACAGATTCCACTCCATCTCTTCATTCAGCTTTTCACTTCCTGCCCTCCATCAGAGTTTCGTGCATCATAATACTCACGTATTTGCAACCCACCTATTAAATGAAATGTTATGGGGTGTGGCTTACTTGAGGTAGATGTAGGAGAAGAAGAAGAGCAGGAGGAGGGAAGAGAGGAAGAGCCAGCCTTGGATCACCTGTGAAGATGAACGTCATGAGATTCAGTGTACAAAACTGCTGCAATCAATCAGCAGCTGCACATACTGTACTTGTTTCTAGTGTTTTAAACAAAGACCACCAGAGGGGTGGGGTTTACCACAGAGGGCGACAGAGCACCACAGAGTTTGGACAAAGTGAAAATCCACTGTCCTGGTGCGCTCAGCCCCACCAGTCTGGTGCTCCGGCTTATATCAGGTCTGCAGTGAAGGGATACAGCAGCACATATGATGCAGACAGACATGACCAGTGTTAGCATGCACCTTGTAGCAGCGGTACTTGTATAACAGTACCAGCACCAAAGTCATGACAATGATCACAGTGATCATGATGGTGGCATTCAGGATGGAGTTGACAGCTCTCTGTCCTACTGTGTCGGTGTCTTCAGGGAACGGCGTGTAGATCCTGAGGGCGACATTACAAAGACACATCTCAGGCAAACAACAAAGACTGGAATATATGATAAATACAAATCAAGCTCAATGCACCATAGTACTGAAGACGTGCAGTAGTGTTTTTTCATATGGTGACTGTGTGCAGTGGCTTCCACTGTGATTCTTATTACACCCAATACCCTTGTTGGTAGAGAGCTTGACATTCAAGCTTACTGCTGTTTCAGAGAGGTTTAAATTGCTCTGGGCAAGAGCTCATGTTATAAAATGTTATCTTTAGTTGCTCAGAGCCAGAAAGGTTCAAACTGCATTAATAATCGTGTGCAATTACAAGGCAGTCTTCTGTATTCTAACTGTGTAGGTATGATATATATTGCATTAACTCCACCTAGTGGCACGGTGGCTGTATATTGCATTGCAATCAAACACCATAAGAAGTGAGCTGTGAATCTGGCCCAAGTCCCATCCTATCTCTCCTCATCTGTCTGATAAGGGTCACAACACTCACAATCTCTGTCCGTCATTCTGGGTGTAGAAGCTGACCGACTTTATGGTTGCCACAACGACCACCATGCAGAGGGTCACGGGGACAAACAGCATGATGACATGCTTGGCCCCGTATTTCAAGGTCAACTCCTCATCCTCGTCTCCCTCGGCCTCCACCACACGTGGAGGAGGAGCAATGGGAGGCTGCCCATTCTGCTCTGGTCCACTACCATTGCCGCTGCTGCCGCCTCCGCCTCCTCCACCATCTCCTCCTCCTCCAGCTCCTGAGCCTCCTCTGGTCACTGCAGTGTTCTGTGTGTGTTCAGGGGCTGCACTGAACCCCTGTTGGTCCTGTTGGTATGACAGGACAGTCGCATTACTTTCTGTATAGTACATTCAGTGTACAGACATTTTTACGGTACTGGTTAAAAGTGCGTTTCTATAAATCACACAACAGTTCCGTCACTGGTCACCCCCGTTCTTTCTCCCCATGTTTCCTGTCACTTGAGGCTCTAAAGTATCTAATAAAATGCAACCAAAATATATCTATAAATCTGTTTTGAACTATTTTTTGTCATTTAGTACCTTTATGTATGAATCAAATGAATGGAAATGAGGGGTGAGCAATAGGCACCAGCATCCAACCCAAGTCCCTGGCACTAGGAGCCAGTTTAACCAAATAAGCAACATTTCAAGATGTGATTTGCAACACAAGATCATTTCTCTCATTTAGACAAGGCTTGCAACCTGCACAGGCTTTGTAGGACTCACAATTCTTGTAAGAAGCTATGATTTGTGAAATGCGATGCTGATATCAAACGGGAACATTGAGGGTCACTTAAACCCCTGGCCACCAGGAATCTTCTCTATATATTTTATGTTAAAGGCCTTATGTGTTTACTTTATGCGTTGACTTTTGAAAAATCTGACCTTAGAATTTGCCACATCTATAGTCTGGATCAACCTTTCATCTTCTATCTTCCTGCAAACATTCTGGATCAACACATTTGAAAAGACCATCATATCACTAGGTGAAATGTGCCAACTGCAATACAGCAAACCATAATCAGACATTCCAGGTAAAGTGGTACCTTTACACTCACTAAACCAGTTCCTCCAAAGACTTAAAAACTCACTCCAAAGATCTGTCCTGTCAGAACGAAATAATGAGGAAAAGCCAGGACTGTCAGACTGCCAGGCAAGTCAAGACATGCAGCAGCCCAGACATGAAGCAACCTAACCAGGTATGCAGAAATGAAGACAGGAGGCACCTCCAAAGTGAAAGCTGCCACAACCATTTAACCAGGATGCTGTACAAAGTAGTCTCACCATGTGGTACACCACAGCTCAGTCCTGGGAGGCCAGTGTTAGTATTTGACAGCAGTGATAATGTGTTAAACACCCTTTATGCCCTCTTAACCTCTTGAATATGCTGCTCGAGACAGAAATGAAATGCTCCCCCCCAAGGCTGAGAAATACTGTTGTACTGCATGTGCACGGCATGTGCACAACAGTTTAAGGAAGCTAAGTGAACTGTGACACAGAACTTTGACTCCTCTGAATGACAGGGAGAACACACCCTTATATACAACAGGAGCAAAATGCAAAGAGCAACACACTCGCACTCATGTTGCTAATGTTCCTGCGTTAATGATTCAGACAGTTACATCTTTCTTTACCACAGAAAGACCAAACAAAACCAGAGTTACCAGACTGAAACTCCTCCAGAGTGTGTGACACTTTCATCACTGACTTGTCACTGAACCTAACCTGTTGGCTAATCATTACCCAATATACAGTTTTAGCACAGAAAACTGTGACGCATCCTTTCATACGCACCATATTGTTTTCAATATCCTCTGCACCGTTTGCCATGGTTGGATCGGTGGACACTGGTCCTCACATGCAAACCAAACTGTTTACCTGAATGAGGAGAAGAGGAGACAATATCAGGCTTAAGGCACCAAAAAAAAAACAGGAATAATAAGGGCACATCAGGGTCAACAAGTCGGGTGTGTAAAGACAGACAGTGACTTGACAGTGATGCTAAAGAAATAGAACACACAGTTTATTTAAACATTTAAAATAACCCAAACATGTCCTGTGTATTATTACTAGCCCTATCTATATTAGCTTTGGCCGAACTCTGAAAAACATTTTTTCTCATTTGAAGTACTCTATAGTGAGTTTGTTAAAGGTTAAACCTGATCAAACTATGTGGTACGTTTTAACTAGAGCCTTCATATAAAAGTAAAGAAGTAAAAACTACAATATCTGTGTTGTAGTCCAGAAAGTTGCAGAAAATGGAAATGGTGAAGCAAAGTACAAGCTGCTCAAATTCGACCACAACATAAATGTTTAATAACAATATCAAATATAAATCAGCATTTTACAACTGTGCCGACTGTCCTGGGGACATTAGTTTAACAAATATTGACTAACTAAGCTTTTGCCACTGACAGCTAGTTAAATAACGTTACTGCGGGAATGTCACGTTCACGTTACTGAATAAACGCCGATAATTTACAAATAGTGAGCTACTATTTGTTGAACCGCTAAATTTAATGTAAAGGGTGTTTCTTTTACTTTTTACTAACGTTACTTGCCAATTACTTGAAAGCTGCGTTAATCATTTAAACGTACTGATTATCCACAGAGGTATATTACCGTTAGCGTGTCGATTCAATGGTTAGTTAGCCAAAAATGCCATAAAGGCAGCGGCCGCGCTGGGTGGCTCGCGCTACCAAACGTGCATATGAAACGACATATGAAGCCTAATTAACAGGCTCGAAAGAGTGGAACCTACCTACTGTAAACAGCAGATAATTTCCTTAAGGTTTTGTTCACAAGCACGTTTAATACCCAGGTACTTTCTCCTTTGTTGTTCCTGACTTCTCACTGAACATCCGGCCGCTGGTGTGAACTACTTCCTACTCCCAGAGATTCAAGGGGCGTTCACGATCAAAACGTTATCTGAGATTTGTTGGGTTTTTTCCGTTAACGTTGAAATATGAAATAAGTCGACTTCTTATGTACACGATCGATTTCACTCAGTGTTAGCCTTGAAACCAATAAAAGACTACAATTAACAACAAGAAAATATTACCGTTAGAAACAAAAGTAGCCATGGTGCATTCACGTTACCACGATAAAACCGTAATTAGGAACAGCTCAGTGGGGAATCCCGTACACACCACCCTCCGATTTGAACTTCTAGTTTGAGAAAACGGGAATTCCGGAAAACGAAAAACAAGAATATCACAACAAAGTGAAAATCGACTACAGCTGACAGTAACATCAAAATAACATTAACAATTAACATTATTCCAATCTCTAATTATAAAATCTTAGCATTAACGTTAAGTCTGAGCCCATCAGAATAAAGCGTGAACACTTCCAGGGCTGAATAACGCCATTTTTTCCCCGTTTTACTGACAGTACGCGAATGCAGCATTAATAGTACGTTGTTCTTCCGGTGCCAAAAGGTCATTCGTTTAACAGAAGGGAGTCTCCAAGAAAATCCTAACCAAAAACCGTCTAAAAGATACTAAAACCATGGTTAGTACGTTGTTATACCGTGTTTACAGACTATACATTGAAATGAAATCGATGTGTTAGTGCTAACGTCTTATTTCTAGTTTTTGATAAAGATTCCAGCTTTTTTGCTAACATTAGCATGAATGTGGAGACGGTGGTATTTGAGCAGCTGCAACAAAACCACGCTGTTGCAAAGTACAGATTTACTGCTCCTCGAAAAGCAAGTCTTCATATTTGTGCCAACAGGTCTTTAGTATTTTGACTATATGGTGCTATCTACGCAGTAATGTTTCAACAGGAACCCGAAATGACCGTTTGAACCGCAGTCTAACAACATTTCTGGTTTTTCAGTCCCACACCATCCTGCTGGTGCAGCCCACCAAGAGGCCAGAGGGGAGGACGTACGCTGACTACGAATCGGTCAACGAGTGTATGGAAGGTAGGTCGATACTCAGCCCTAACAGTAACACAAATATATGATAAAAACTAACAATAACTCTTACCAAAAGTAGGACAACTGTATATAAAGCACGTGGGAAATGTGATTAATGTTGGTTGTACGTGTTGTCATGTTATTTCCATTACTGAAATACAGATGTTTAAGTTGAGAATCTAAATAGGTGATATAGACATAAAACTGTCGATAGAACTACACTGATCAAGTCTTTAGGTGACACTTCACAGTAAGTAACAAACCATCTGAACATTTTTAAAACCAACAGCAGGGATCAAAACAGTGTCCAGTCAGTAAGAAAAGTTAGCATTATTATTTCGTAATTATTATTATTAATGAATTATTAATTAATTTAGCTTTTTTTCCAGTTGACTGAAACCATTGAGGAGTGTGATGCACTGTATTTTTTGTCTCCTGTGCAGGTGTGTGTAAGATGTACGAGGAGCATTTAAAGAGAATGAACCCCAACAGTCCCTCCATAACATATGACATCAGCCAGCTGTTTGACTTCATTGATGACCTGGCTGACCTAAGCTGTTTGGTGTAAGTTTGACACGAAAACTGGCTAAATTGAAACTGCTGGAAATAATATCTTGTCGTGATCAGTTTCTCTGGAGTTTAAAACCATTGGTAAGGAGTGCATTTTGAAATCCTCTGACAGTGTAATAGCCCTCCACACACTTGCTGTTAACAAATTTAGCAGAGAAGATTTCTACCTGTGTACTGTGTTATCAGCTTAGCATTGGTGCCTGGATTCAAACTCACACTGCTGCAGTTATCCTGCAGGAGCAGATAAAACTGACTGCGCCAGAAGCCATGTGAATGTAGGGAGTTTTATTTTGTTTTAAGTGGGAGGCTCCAGCACCTGTGCAGCCCTGTAGGCCTCCCTGATTAAGTTCCCTTGAGCAAAACGCAGTCCCCACCAGCTCCCTTGGTGCTTTTCTCTCTCCTAGTAGCTGAACTGGCTTTCAGACCTCAAGGAGAACATGAGCAAGAGGAGTAACTGAGATGAAAAGTGTCTCATTTGATGCCTCCTTTTGTTTCATGTTGTGTAGTAAAAAGCAACATCTTCCACACAAATTGGAGGCTGCCTGTTATGGCCCGGCCCAAAGGAAAATAATGAAAGTGAAAATAATTTGCTGTTCTGCCGTAGGTATCGCGCTGACACACAGACGTACCAGCCGTACAACAAGGACTGGATCAAAGAGAAGATCTACGTGCTGCTTCGCCGTCAGGCCCAGCAGGCAGCAAAGTGAGGCCTGACTGCAGCTGCAGGGGCGAGCGGATCACTGTTGTTTTTCTTGTTTGTAACTTGTGTTGAAATGGAGTGAACTCCCAACTTTTTAGAAGTTTTTGAAAGTTTTTTTTCTCCTGGAGGGAAGGTGCATTTTTTTATTTTAATGTTCAACTTGTTAATAAAGATTTACTTTGAATAACACAACTGTCTGATGTAATTGTCCTTTTTTGCATCTTTCTTTTCCTTTCCATCTGTTGGTTTCCTTTCTCTCTGTACTACATCTTTATTGTTCTTTTTATTTTACTTCCTCATTCCTCAAACCTTTTTGTTTTCTGTTTTTTTATTTATTTATTTCAAAATGGGTGTGGATGAATACCACTGGTCTACAACCAAACCACTTCTGAAACAAAAGAAATCTTTGCTAATTCTGGGCCATGATATCTAAACTTGTTGCTTGACCCTGATTTGTAAGATAGGGCACTGCCAGTGTATACATTTTGCTTGAACATGACTGAACTGAACCAAAACTCTAATGACAAAACTGTTTGCTTCTGATACAACGAGCTTTGTAGGTGAAACATGCTGCTGCTGTGTCTCAGGCGGTTTTCATTTAACTAAGACATCAAACTTGTATACATCGGCCCAGAGCCTCAGTCAGAGGGTGTCATTATCTTTACTTGTCAGTTTTTTTGCACATCGTCATATAACAAACATGGCGAAACATTTTAAAAACCACAGCCAGTCAGCTCTTTTAAAAGCCATATTTGAATTCATCACCTCAAAACCATCAGCTGACTGAACTTCAGGTCAGGACCAAGCAGGGAGACGCTGCTAAAAGGAGCTAAAAGGTTGCTAATCTGGCTAAGTCTAAACTCTAAACACTGCTGCTTTATCTTATGTGATATGTGTGATTGTCTATAAAGAAAAGTCAACCTTACCTCTTACTATGAAAGTGACTTTTTCTCACCTCACAGTACAGACATCCCCTTAATCTATTGGCTACAGTCAGGTCTCCGATTATAGCTGCTGTTTTAAGGCACTTTTCTTGTAATACAAATGAAAGTGTCTGCATCTCCTTAGATTTGCTGGCAGATCTTACACATACAGTATGCACCCTCTAAGTTGACTTGATTTTGGAATAAACACAGGGGCAGTAGAAGAGAGCGCTGTGTGTGTCTTACCTGGGCTTCTCTAACCAGCAGCTGCCTGTACTTTGTGAACAGGTCCTTAGTGCGTTTCAGGAGGAAGCCGGACACAGTGCCAAACTCCTGGTCCCCTGCGAGGAGAGAAACACCATCACACTTAGATCAACTGGTAATAAATCACTGCACCCTAATGTAGGATTTTAAAAACGTTTCCATCAAGAGTCATGTATGTTATTTACGTATGTAAGCAGTTCTGTTTTACGGCTGTTTTGCTTTCACTACGTCACCGACGTCAGGCTCTTTGTGGTCGACTTCAACAGTTAACAGGTGTCATTACCTTTACCTGTCACTGTTTGGCACATTGGCATAAATGGCTACATACTGTACCTTAAACTGCAGCCAATCAGCTCTGTTAAAGGCCAGAACATCTCAAAATCTATAGAATTAGCATATTTCAATTCAGAAGCAGCAAATATATTGTAAAAAAAAATAGTGTAGATGTCATTTTCTGCAAATCTATTGTTTTAATTCACCTTTTCTCTGCATCTTTCTTCTTACAGCCTTTATCCTTCTTAAACATGATGTCAACAGTAGAAAAGTGCAACCTAACAGCAAGTTGTGGTGATTCCCTTTTTTTGATCAACAAAAGCAAATGAGGAGATCTCAGGATATTGATTTTTTTAAACTGTGCTTTAGAAAATAATTTGGCTTTCAATAAAATAGGCTTTAAGGGCATTAGATTAAAAAACGAATGGGCCCTTCTTCGCTGTCTTGTCTAGTCTTGCTCTTTCGTTACTGTTTTTAACTTTCTGTTATTTCAGTTTTATTCCTCCTTTCTGAGTTCAGCTTGCTTTGCAGTGGTGCACATGCTAATATGTTTTCCTTGCTTTATGTCCTCTTTGCTCCTATTGAATGTTTCGCCTTTCTGTCATTTGCTGTTCAGTTTTCAGTTTGTTTGCCTTTTTCCACTTGGTGAGTGTATGAAGTGCTGCAGAGGATGTCAGTTTGTTCTGCTGTGATGCACATTCATTTGATTTTTTTTTTTTTTTTTACTCAGTGCAGGTGCAAACAAGCATGTCTCAAGTATTGATCTTTTTGTTTTCTTTTCTTAACTGTGACTTGGACGAATATTTACAGTTTCCTTGACGTTAAAATTCACAGACCTTGTGTAAAATGTCATTTTCTTTCCTTTTCTATCTGTCCTAACATTTCATTGTTTGCTCTGTTTTTTCTTTTCTTTTCTACAGAGGCTGTTCATTTACGTTATCATTCTTGCACAGCTTTGGAAGCCTGGAAATGCAGATGTTTTAAAAACTACTTGGGGAAAATATTAATATGCATTGTCCCTGACAAATAAATGAGTAAACTAAAGGCCACAATGTACATGGCATCCTCCTTTTTGCCCTCTACACAGGCAAACAACAGGCTGCATTGCCCCCTTTCTCCTCTGGCTCTTTTTATTGTTTTGTTCCTATTTTTATTTCTTGCTTTCCTTCTTTCCTTCCCTCTCTCAGACAGTTTGGTGTTGACTGTCAAAGTGCTACAAAGATGTCAGTTTGCTTTTCATATGTATTTTCAAAAATGAAAATTTCTCTCCTCCATTTTTTTCCTTTTCTTCTGTTCTATGTTTTTCTTAATCTCATTGTCTGTTATTCTGCTATTCCCTAATTCTCTTCCCGTCGTTTCCAACCCTTGATCTCTTCTCCCTGCTCCATAGAAACCCGATGGTAATGTGCTCATTTTGGTACAGTAGCAAATATTGATTTTTCACAGCTGGGAAAGTCTTTACAGTTTCTGGATACAAGTGAATAAGAAAGAGGGAATCAATAAACAGGGTCTGGAGCCGGGATGAAGGAGCTCCACGCTGACGCGCGGGACGCCTGGCGGGGCGCAGGAGGCGCCCGGTCTCCTCTCCTGCAGTCGCGCTGCTGAAGCTGGATCCTCGCCTGTTCTCAGTTTTTCCACCTTTGTGTTGTGATCGGCTCTCCCAGCCTGTTTCTCACACCCACTCCGGTGCCCCCCCGCCTCCTCCTCCCCACCTCATCCCACCCTACCCTACCCCATCCACCCCCTCTCCTCCTTTTAGCATCTGAAAAGACCACTGAGTGAGAATCGATGGCGCAGAGGCCCGCTTGACAGGACAATAAACCGTAAAGAAGGGGTGAGTTCTTTCCTCCTCTTGGTTGTTGTTGGGGTTTTTTTTGAATTGCGGAATTACTCTAATGGCCCAACAATACGGGAACCGCTCGGGGCTGGCTGTGTGGAAATGATATTTAACACAAGGCATCTTTTGTTACCACGATATGATTTACAGCGGGCGTCAGCTGCCGTGGTCCCACTCAGGAAAAGAGAATTTAAAAAACAGAAATCAGAAAAAGACCAGAAGGTGCAGCCAGCGGCTCCGCATCCTGCATCGTTTGGGACATTAATTTCACATGAACACACATTCACCTTACGTAACCCGTACATGCATCACTGTAGCCTGGTCCTGTTATTGCACTTGCCGCTGCAGGTCGTTTGCCTGGATTTCATTGGGCGATGCAGCACCTTGAAGGTGTTAATGCGGTTGTCGTGTTGTAAACAAAAATATGTCAGCGGGATCGGAGAGGGGTTTGTCTTGGCTTTTTAAGGAACCTCCCCGAGAAATTGAGCGCAAGACAATGAGGAATGTGAGAAGCGGATTGCGCTGCGCCGAGCTTTTCCACATTGCTTCTGTTTTGCAGCCATGAGGAGAGGACAAGTCACATCCAAGGCGCAGGTGGAGCCGTCTATTTACAGCTGAGGCGTTCAGATCTGCCTCTCATGTCTATGATAGCTACAACAATAGCTTCCATTTTCCTCATCAGCCTCAGGCTCAAGCAGTAGGCTACAGCCAAAAATATGTTGATATTTTTGTTAAA